GGAGGCGGCGGAGGCTGGAAGAGCTCATCGTAGGAGACCAGATTAGTGCCGCCAGTGATAGATGCTGACGATTTTTTTGAGAGAGAGCTTCCAATAGCAGTTAAATATTAAGATGGATGTCTAGGTAACGCTCATAGGCACGTCGACATTGCCTTGTGAGGGAATTGAAGTTCTAGAATGGCGAGTAGCACTCGTTATGTTTATCTATCACTTGTCTTTTTGACCCTTTTGCAATCTAACAAGCTCCCAGGTCAAAGCCCAGCCCACTCTGAAGATAGCGATGGTGGGCTGTCAAGTGTAAGACTACGCATTCGCCAGGTCATCAAGCGCGTCTATCACCCAGCAAGCACTCGGTGGAGGCCGATTGACACGTAAGGTGGCCTGTAGCTAGACCACAAGGTAGGCACAGTTTCCCGGGGTGCATGCCGTCTTGGTAGAGCATAATTTATGGGCGACTTAAGGAATACGAGACAATCAGCAAACCTCGGATTGAATGATCATACTGCAGGTCAAACAACGACGGAATGGGGGGGGAGGTGTTTAGAAGCAGCAGAAGGTCCGCAGCCAGCCTGCGCTCAAACCAAGTCTACCTTAAATAACACAGTAAGACAATGTAACCTAACTGGCTTCGAAGACTTTCAGCATACAAATGCCAATCCCTCAGCAGCAGTGATTGGGAAAAGATAGGCGAAGTGGCAGTTAAAAAGGCAAACAACCATTCTGGGAAGCAGGCAATCACAGATTGATCTCAAGAAATACTAACTGAAATTCGGAAATACCTCATTTTAAATGAGGTCGTAATATTCACGATAATGTAGCATAAACATAATAGGATGGCGGCTTCTGAATGAACTTCATTTCGGCGGTTTGTAATAACCACACTATACGAAATGAACCCGTTAGTAATACGGTTGTTTTCCGTCAAGTTTTGGCGCATTTATAAATTTAAATTTTTTATTATTATTGAAAGCATAATGAAAGGTATTTTTTCCTGTCCTCACTTGGCAGGAGAGCTCACGTCGTCTGCAAAGTTCATACCCGATGAAAGTATACTTAGATTTTAAAAAGTTTTCTCAGTTCCCGAAAAAATTAAACTCGATATGCTGTTGCATTTACTTGTAGGGTTTACAGCCTACACGCTGCATACCTTTCAGTTAAGGCAAATCATATATTCTTTTATGCCACTAAGGAGGTAGGAGGAAGAAATATATTTGGGTTTGTTTTTTTAAATAACATCTACCGGAATCCATAAGCACATCGAAAACCTATGGGAACAGTCACTCTTTGCCCATTAAAGGTTTACAGTTGACCAAAAAGAAATGCATTCAAAGGCCAGTACCGTGTTTTGGCATGATAATAAAAACATTTAAAAAACCCACATAAGCAGTTCTTTGTACTTGAAACGCATTTCAAGACTGGTCACTGACTGTACATTTAGAAACTGGCGACTCTTCGGTAGGTTCGGAAGGAGAAATTGATGATACAATTAAGCTGTAAAAAAGGACACGCCCGAGTCGGCATAATCTTTTAGCTGCCAGTAAAGCTGGGTTGTTGCTTTACTAGTCTAAAGTACTGCACCCTGTGAAGGCAATACATCGTACATTTAATGCAGACAGCCCTCTGGATTAGGGCTCGAAGACAAAGACAAATGCCGATGCACTTAGCACTTGGATACACAGCCACGGGCTCCACTAAAACGGTCTAAATAAAGGACATCTGTGTGCACTTCAGGCGCAGGCTTGAGCAGCAAACTGGATTACAGCGTCTGTAGATGGCGACATTTGTAACGCCAAGAATTAATTTTCTACCGAAACCTGGGGCACATGACTCTGAGGAGGACTTAAACGTATTAGAAGCTAGTTTTTAGCCTCGACAAATGCATATCAGAGTCATCTTACTTAATCGTACAGAATACTCATAGGATATATAAAACTCTTCTTTTTGGCTGTCGAGTATTGGGAGAAAGTGCAATAGGAAGGTGGAACTAACAGCGCGACAGCTTCCCTACAGGACAAGAGATTGGCAGCGACCGCACCTGGCCGAAACAAGGCTCGTTCGGCACGTGCCTGAATGCGAAAAGTGAACTTGCGCAACCTTGATGATTTACGCATCATCCAATCGTGTGAGCCATGAGGTAGAGCTCACGATTAATTGGTGGTGGCTTGAAAAATGACTGGTCAAACAGGGGAAAAAACAGTAGGCGTTAATTCAGTCGGAGAGGAGAATTATTTCTCAACCATTAGGGGAGAGGAAACTTGGCATGAATGGAGCTAGATAAGACAAAACACTTACTCATCTTCATCGCCAACTTCTATCATGAAGAAGTAGACGTTCTCGCTAGCCGAGGCCAGGAGTGGTTCAAGTAGTGGTTCCACTGAAGTGATGCAAAGAAAAGAAAATTCTCAGGGAAAATACTGACAGGTAACGCGAACATAACTAGCGGATTCAACTATCGACTACAAACAATGAAACCTTTCAGGTGGCCAGGCAGGAATAAGCGGCGGCTTTAAAAAGAAAAAGTTGGGCCAGGAGGACAGAAAAGAAATCGCGTCT